GGACAGACACAAAGGACCCCGGACCCGATACCCGGAACGCTACACATTCTGAATGCCTGATGGGATCAAGTGTGCTGCTTTCACTTTGAGCTCCTGGCTCGCTTTCCACGTTTTCTTGTAATGTAATTTGTTATACAAGTCGGGGTTTAAGGGAGAGTGAACGTGTTTCTTTCTTTTGATGGTAATGACTAAGATGCACAGCTTTTGTGGGGGGAGGTACTCTCTGGACTCTAAGTAAATGAGACATTTTACCTAAAAAGGGATCTATGATTCAATGAAGTCATTCATACTCCCACTTTGTCAGACAATGTTTTTTTTAAAAATCCGCTTTATGTTGTTACTGTACTTTTTATTAGTAGATCATGTCTGTCATTTTATTTCTAGATTATTTAGTAGCACGTATATTATTTATTAGCTCACGCATACCCAAGCCTCTTGAGTGTTTTCTCCCATGTTCATTGCTCTAAAATATGTAATTTCTAATTAGCTGCTTGTAGTTTGGACAATAGATATTTTGATTATTATTTATTACCATTATTATTATTTATTTTCAGACACAATAAATATTGACTAGTTGCCTTAACAGAATACGATAGCAAAATTGTTATTTCTTTTGAGGACGGGGCCGATATGCCAGTATTATAATGGCGAAAAATTTCGAAAATGAGATATTATGCATACAATACACTACACATCTTGTAGAGAACTACCGCAGTGGTCCAACAGTGCGCGGTAAGATTTTTGAACGTTTTATCCAGTTCACGGGACTTCGTGAATGGTGTGCGAGAAACTACATTGCGAGAACTGTTTCTTCACAGTACGCAGATGACTCAACTCACTCCAATAAGAATATTAGTAGGTAACTATACAGGGTGGCGCATCGAAAACGAAACAGACGCATTTACTAGCAGCTCAGTTTTTTTTTTTGAAAAACGCTCAGACCCGTCGATTTTGTTTTCGAGGGGGGCACGAGTTTGGAAAAAAATCACGTTAGCACGGGCGGCCCACTAAGCGGGGGTGACACCACCCCCATAATCTTAAATGGAAAGGGGGGTCGAGTGATACCTTATTTTAAAGGTCTTTCGATTACCTTTATAATGATATCAAATTAACGTACTTCAGTTCAGTAGTTATGAAGATTTATTGATTTAAAGTTTAAATAAAACTAATACATCATCATTAGTGGAGATCAATACATTTGGCAGCAAAGTAATTTAAAAATGAAGAATGAACTGACCCGTTAGGCAAGTAAATGTTGAAAATGGCCAACATGAATCTCCATGCAACAATAAAGATTTTGCTCAAAACGTTGCCGCACATTTTGCAATATTTGAGGAGTAATTTGAAGCCCTCATAAAGAAATCCAAAGGTGATAAATCTGGCGATCTTGGGGGCCATTCAATGACACCTCTTCTACCAATCCATCGATCTGGAAACGTCTGATCTAAATATTGTCGAACACGTAATGCGTAATGTGGTGGGGCACCATCCTGTTGGAACATTAACTTATTCGCAATGTACCGCCGATCATTTGGATTTTCAATTATGGCTGTTAATGCAGGATCTATGGCGTCTTCCAGTAATTCCAAATACATTTCACCGGTCAAATTTCCAGGTAAGAAAAAAGGACCAACTAAATGATCGCCAAAAATACCAGCCCAAATATTTAATTTTTGCGGCTGCTGTGTATGAACCTCATGATAAATTCTGGGATTAGAATCGGACCAATATCGGCAGTTATGACGATTTGCTACGCCATTTAAGAAAAAGGAACATTTGTCGGAAAAGCAAGTGTTGAATAGAAAATGTTCATCGTTTATAATTCGTTCACTCATATCTTCACAAAATTGTAATCGCCGATCAAAATCGTCTTCATTAAGTTCTTGTACCAGGTGAATTTTATACGGATGAAAACTATGGGCCTTAAGAATTTGTTGGACAGTACGTCGACTAACACCACACACAGTCTCCAATTTGCAGGTACTTAACGTAGGATCTACATAAATTGCCCTAAAACCCCCACTTCTATTGCTTCGTTCGTTATGGGATTTTCAATGTTGAGTTTTTTATTGGCGACAGACCCAGTTTCCCGAAATTTAGCTACAAGTTCTAGAACATATTTTCGGTGCACGTTACTGTTCTCATGTCGCTCATTAAATATTTCTGCTGTTCTATTAGCGCATTGATTATTTCCGAAAAATATTTCGATAATTTCAACTCTTTCTGCTGTGGAATATACCATGGTTAATTTATGTAATAAAGCATTATTTTAGCAACAAAGTTTGGTCCAATCAATAGCAAACTATGTACTAAATTCTTATTTAAAATAAGTACGAGATATTTCCTTATCTTTCTTCAAGAAACAACTTTTTTGCCACAAAAAAACGCTCCAATAGCTATTTTCAACAACAAAATGATAAACAAACCATGGGCGTAGTGAGGAAAAGTATTTACTTATTAAGTAAATTCTTTTAGTCAAATTTCTTCCGAAAGTAGTACAAAATAATCTGATGTACCTATTAAAGTCTACTTTAAGCTTTAAATCAATAAATCTCCAAAAATACTGAACTGAAGCTCATGTATTTTACATCATTATAAAGGGAATTCAAAGACCTTTAAAATAAGGTCCCTCGACCCCCTTTCCATTTAAGATTTTAGGGTTGGTGTTACCCCCGCCCAGGGGGCTGCACGTGTTAACGTGATTTTTTGCCAAACTGGTGTCCCCCTCGAAAACAAAATCGACTGGTCTGAGCGTTTTTCAAAAAAAAAAAAAACTGAGCTGCCAGTAAACGCGTCTGTTTCGTTTTCGATGCGCCCCCTGTATAATAAGAAAGACAAACTGAATCAATCTGCCAACGTAACGCTAACGATGTAGAAGACGCTGTTTGGCTGTTTTCTCATACTATTTACCGACAGAGCTTTGAAAAGCTTTGAAATGTCCACTTCCATTATTGTATATTTTGATAGAGTTGTAGATCGACAGAGAAATATATATATATATATATATATATATATATAAAGAGAATATGATCATGCGGCGAAAGGTATATAACAACAAGTGGGAAAATAATGGGCAAAATCCGGAAAAAGGAGGAAAGTGGATTCGAGCAGAAAATAGGATAGGTAACCCGAGCGACACGTATTTCTGCTGGTTGGCTTCATCAGGCCCGAAATGAATGCACATATGGAACTACAAATGTAGATACACATGCCCACACATCCGGATACGGGTGTAACCTGAGGAAACGAAGTTGGAGGAAAACCGGCCGCGTGGTGGTGGTTAGACGTCTCCGTGAAAATCCGAGGTTGTATAGCCATTTTATACTACAATGTGTAGGTTGGCTCTTGTTGTGGACTTCGTGTGTCATTTTTTTTTCCTCCAACTTCGTTTCCTCAGGTTACACCAGTATCCGGATGTGTGGGCATGTGTATCTACTTTTGTAGTTTCATATGTGCATTCACTTCGGGCCTGATGAAGCCAACCAGCAGAAATACGTATCGCTCGGGTTACCTATCCTATTTTCTGCTCGAATCCACTTTCCTCCTTTTTGCGGATTTTGCATATTATTTTCCCACTTGTTGTTATATATATATATATATATATATATATATATATATATATATACAGGGTGACTTTGAAGTTGAGTCATTAATTTTCAGATAATGATTGTAGAAGGAAGATAAACCAAAATATGTGTGTAAAAATAAAAAAAATAAAAAAAAAATTTTACCTTGTTTTATAAAGTATCCTCCCGACAAGTATTTCAGTGCAGACCTGTATTTGATCGTGAGGTCCCCTGTGAGGTCTTAAGTCACCTGATTCACGAGCCCGTTGTACTACATTAACAAAGGCACGAGGGGTTGGTTGCACTCGATTGGGAAACCGATCCGCATAAACATGTGCCATTTTTTTATTTCGTTTGAGCCAGCCAACAGACACTATTCACACGCGTTATCGACTGACACTGACTGTATGTATAACTGAACTGAATAAAATAATTGTAAAAACATCGTTCCAAATTCTTTCGCTTTTTTGTTTCCGATGCGATGAACCGATAAGGCGGATTATATCCGTTGTTGCCAAACACGAGCACATGATATTATTATTGAGACAGGGCGGTACTCAAACTTCCAAAGGGCTATAACTTTGTTACTTTAATTTTACCAGAAAAATGGTAAAGGAAAAAACATTTCTTTTGATCAGATCTACTCACTGTTAAAATAAATGACTCAACTTCGAAGTCACCCTGTATATATATATTTATTTATACTACGATGAGCTACAAACTTTTTATAAAGATAAGACGGAGATTGTGTAGTTAATTTTTGTTTGAGTAAGAGTGAGCATTTGATATCTGTGAGTATCGTCCATGCATAACCAACCCAACTGACTAATATAACATGAAATATGATCATATCCTGGGTGACAAAAAAAAGTAAACACCTACGTATGTAATATATCAGAATTCAAAATTTTCTTGCATATCGGTTTATCTTGCCATGAACATGTTATAAAATGATCAGGTTTTTGTGGTTCCTGCGTGTATTGTTTGGTGATAAAGAAGAATTCAGTTTTGGTACATTTACGGTGTCAGTTAAATGTTAAATTTCGTGTAGCTTATAGGGAAGCCTTTTTGTGATTGCTCAAAATGCCTATAGTGCCTAGAATTCGCCGGGTGTTCCAGTTAAGTGACTTTCAGACGGGTCGAATTGACGCGTTACGTGAAGCCGGTCTATCGATAAGAGAAGTTTCTAGGCGGACCAACAGATCCTTACGCAGTATACTGCAGTGTGGACGAAGGTGGACTCAGGAAGGTCGAGGACAGCGAGAGACGGATTCTGGACATCGCAGAGGGTCACAGAGCTACAAGACCGCCAGTTAAGACTTCTGGCTCTAAGAGACAGATTCAATAGTACCCGATCCATCCATGGTTGGTATGCGTGATATGCTGATAGATGAAAAACGTGAAAATATTTATAAAAAAATATAAAAAATGTTATTACGAAGACCAAGAATCATCTAAATAGCCTCCTATCCCTGGTGCAGAGTCATCATCATTATAACCAGACAAATTTGACTGGCACATCGGTTCTTCAGGCAGGAGCATTTCAACAGTTTCCTTGAGAAATGGTTTTGTAATTTTTCTTGGAGTAGGTCTCATGCCAGTTATCAGGGGATCCGAGCTCAATAATAATCTATTTATGATATCAAGATTGCAAGACTCTCTGCTGAACTTCCGAGCATAATTTTGGCGGTATAACCGAATGTGTTTATTGCGAGCCTCTTCGGCCTCTTCCGACATCATTCCTATAGACAATAAAGTTTTTTCAATGACAATGGGTTATGGAGCAGTATTTTGTGAAGAGTTGGTGCCATTGGATGCCACGAATATAATTCAACGTACAGTTGTGCCTTGTCCAAACAAAATATTTCAAATTTCTGTTTGTCTACTTTATGGCCGCTTGATATCGCTTCCAAAATTACTTTAGGACGAAAAAGGAGACGGGAATCTATACCGGTTATTGTTGCTGATAGCTCATGATCCGTGAAAAATCTCATACTGGTATTCCCAGCATTGCTCTCTCCGAAACCAGCTTTTGGAACATTAACTATAAGACTCATTTGGGATCTAAATTCCTCTTGTATCTCCAATTTCCTTTGTTGAACTATTTTTTATCTCTTTCACTTCTTAATTACCATTTCTTCACTGGCAATTTGTAAGCAATATGAAGCACTCCTTCAAACAGTCATGCGAAATTGATGAGCCAAATTTTAAGGAATCTTCATGTCAAGGACATGTGTTTGATAAATCGTTGAAGTCTTTGGATGTAGCACCACAAATATAGCATTTCATCGAGTATTTTGTGTTGGTTGCGGCATTACACACTTTCGCATCAACCATTGTGAGCATCATTACACGTTTTAATAGAAAGCTTTTGTTCAATTGCGCGAGCTGTGTCGGTTCCAAAGACTTTATTTTGTTTTGTATATCATTTATTTTCTCGTTTGTGATATCCACTGTTTCCTTCACAAATCTTATGCGAATGGGTCGGCAAAATCGTAGCGAAGAAGGCAACGGGTTTCGCCATATCTTACTGCCTTCACTAGAAGGCAACCGTAACGGAACAAATGAACTTTGGAATATATTTGCATCTGAATCAAAGTTATTTTCAAATCTTTGATTAAATGTTGTCTGCTGTAACCCATCACATCCCCATTTATATGTCAAAATTAGAGTGTTTCTTTCTTCACTATTTAAATTCTGGTGAACATCTGTCAAATGCAACAAAAGCCGCGAAGCAGTATGATTTAATAAATTTTGAAGATTACGTTCAGCGCACGTAGCAGTGATTTTATCAGATTCTTGTACAGGCTTTTTTAGCCTTTTGTAGGATCGTAAAGCATGGATATAGTTTCTTGTTAAAACTTCTAATTGTATCATACTGTCTTCTTGTGAGGCCAACTTTGACAAACATAGACAATGCTTATAGCTGCTTTTCATCATTTTGAGATTTAATGAACGCTTATCGATATTTTTTTGCTCGCGTTGGAGATTGCATTAGGTCTTTTATCACCTTTGAAGCATCACTCTTGCCCTCAGAACGTAACTTTGTATGAGTGGCAAAAGTCAACTCTTCAGAGCTTATTTCACCACGGAATGTTTCTGTTTTTCGTCTTTTACTTCGCTCGCTAATATTACCAAAAGATTTCTGTGGGCGCCCTGGTCCTGACGTTGCTTGTGGTATTTCAAATGTCATTGGAGCCAACGATTATTTTTTTAAGGAAGAGATCTTCTATGTAATGTGCGGCAATCCATCTACGTTTTATTTCTGATCTTAGATTTGAAAATTTGTGTTTAACTTCTTTTCGTTGTACTTCTGAATAATTTTAAGAATCCAACAAAAAAGATTCAGCATAGTCCAATTTTTTGTTAATGTCGTTATTGGGATAGCCTTGCAACATGTCGTAAAAATTGTTTTGAGCAATGATCTTGACTCCAGAGGGCCCTATAAAGAAAGAAAAGAAATGGCTTAACCCGTAACGACAGACGCGGAGCCAATTTGACTCCTTGCTGGTACGTGGTGGGGAATTTCCCATTTTCTCCCCAGTCTATCTGATCAGTCGTAGAGGTACCTTTTCATCGAGTAGTATGGAACTAGCGCTGAGACAGTTGCGTTGTTTGTGTACGTTATTAACATTTCGTTACGACTTGAATTTCAGACGTAGTCAAAAAGGCTACAGGTAGAGTGATTGTGTTGTATTCTTGTTTCTGTATTTCATGAACCTGCTCGGTTTATTTTAGGTTTCTATGATGGATTTTTTTAGCAAAGCTGGTGCCTCAAAAAAAGTCAGATTCGGACTACGAAGAAACATTGCTGAAATGGGCGGCTGAGGTGGATGATGAAAATGAAAACGACAGTGATATTGATTGAGATACCGAATTCATTTACAGTGATCATGAGAGCGTTCGGAACAAGATATGAACAGAGATTGTGAAATACTTTCTACTGAAGAAGATGCGACATCGAACGGCGTTTCTACAGGAAACTATTTCTATGAAAAAAAAACGTTTTAAATGGTTTGTGTGGACTGTGCAAAATGAAAAAATAACTTGGAAAAACCTATTGCACGTTTCCAGAATATTACTTTCACGTTAATTTCTAATCTATATAAGTATTCTGTTTTATGTTTTTAACGAGTTTTGTATGAAAAGTACTAGCAAGTACATTTTTTTATGTTAAAAAGTTACCAAAAATGTTATTGTAAATATTCACGAAAATTTTGTGCAATAAATATATTTCTTTAAAACTTGGTTGCTTTTTACTGAAGAAAATTTTTATTGGAAACGATATTAAAAAAGATCCTATTTAAGTAATTTAAGATAGAGGTAAACGTTTTTTATTTTTCAAACATGTTTTCCATGACATTCAATATAGGAGTAATTTTGACGCCACGTCTGTGGCTACGGGTTAAACGAACGTTCATCTTTTATTTGTCGATGAAGTTGGAAACATTTTCTGTCGATATGATTAGCCAAGATCTAGTTATATAATACGAGACCAAAATCATAACCGGGATACATCCAGAAATTCATCAAAACCATTCGAGTTTAATTAATATCAAAGGTAAAAATGATTGGAACATACATTTCGTGAAAACGTCATTTTTTCTAATCATTTAGCTAATATTTCAATTAAAATTGACAAAATGGGTTGTACATACCTGCCTCAGAAACGCCTATGTTGAAAAACTGGTACATCATTCGTAAAAGCTTGTAAAGACTTTAAAATATTGTCGTCACAATAAATACGCTGAGAACAGATACGTGAGCAATGAAGAATGATCAAACTCGCACCGAAACTACTGGCAAGAAATAGCAGTGGGTAAACAAAAAAGTGTGGGGCTTTTTCTAGCATCTGTTCCGGCATCTTAGACAAATACCAGTTTTGCGATACGAGCTATTCTGCAAAATCGACTTTTTTCCGGATTCTTAATTCAAATACCCGTATGTGGAGCATCACGTTCACCACACCGTGGGAGTTATGGTAAGGGGAGTCATTGCTTATGGTAGCAGATCACCACTAATTTTCATCAGAGGCTATATTCAAGAAGTAGTGGCACCTCATCAACCGTTTACCTTGAAGTTGCGACATGCTCCACAGACTTTAGCAGCTCTTACTCACGAAGTTGAAGTAGCCTGGAATGGGATACCCCATCAGGTAATCGACCATCTTATCCGCACGATGCCCAGGCGTGCCAATGAGTGTATAAGAAATCGTGAAACCTTAACACATTATTGAACCAGCTTCTGCAGTCCGTTGACAAATCAAGGTGAAAATTTTATCATTTTACTATTAAGGGACACTGAATATATATGCCAAAAATATTAAAATCGGATAAACATACGTAGGTGTTTAGCTTCTTTTGTCACTAAGTATATTTATTTAAACTACTAAAAACAAAATCTACAACTGCTTTGTAGTTCTGTTCTTAGAGGCACCATCAACACAAGAATATTAAGCTACGCAGTAACAAGAGAGTATAAGAAAGATTAGCGTCTCACTAAGTTTTTTCTAGTTTTAAGGTTAAATATTTTATTTATAATATAATATTATCATATTGCCCTCTTTTGGAGATATCAATATAAACTTACCCAGGCGAAGAAATAGACTGGCATCATGCTAACGGCCTCCATCAGCCGCCATGAATTTTAAATTTTTTGGATAAATAAAATAACTCTATTTCAATTTGCCAAATGACCCGTTCAAAAAATAAGTAAGTGATAAAGGCATTTTATATATTTTGGTTTAACTGCCTGATGAAAGTAGCCAAAATGAAAATAATGTTCATTATACAGGTGCCTACCGCAAACTTCTGCTACTGTCTTCTTCACCAAAACCATTCGACTGAAGACAATGCACATCCTAAAAACCCAATTATCAATTCACAGCCAGAAGGCCTCAGCGAATGTTAATTTGTCACCAACCAGGCCAGGCATTAATTGACTAAAGAAATTAATAAATTATCATTTGTTACGGTTGGAATATTAATGGCACCTGTCAAATAAATATTCGTTTTGTCAACCGAGGAACACGAGACATTGACTGATGCCAGGGCGGGCAAAAGGATTGATCAGTGATTGAGAAGGAATGCCGACGCTTTGCTGATATGAAGATCAAACGAGGCGAGAACATTACTCTAGTTAAACAATGTTTTTTTAAATTATGAGTATTGTAGGGCAGGGGTGTTGTTGAGGCCTGTTTTTGGTTATCTAGGGGTGTGGGCTGAGTAGTGATCAAGTGATCACAGTAAACAATCAGGTAAACATATTTGCGCACTTGTTACAGGTAAATAATAGTCTCCTTAGGTACAATCTACAATGTCCGCAGATCAGCAACATGCACAGGTAAGTGCGTTAAGAAATTCAATCAATCAATTGACAATACGTCATATTTTTGCTCGTGAAAGTTTTCAAGTTCTCCAATAGAAAATCCGATTTAAAAACATGGAGATGGACTCTGGAGGTTGAGGTAATAATCCCCCAGCATCCCCGATGATGAATGGACCCAGCCAGAAGGAGAGAACAGAAAGGCCCGGCAAATAAAGGAGCTGACTAAGACAGTTAGGGACAAAAACAGTAAAATAGACTGCCTGACCACCCAGGTAACACAGTTAATCAATAATACAAATTTTAGTTCTAAATCTGACAAGGCTGTCAACTTCTAAAAGACCTCTTGAAAATTTAACTGACGTGACATCGACCGACGATGAAATACAGAATGATGGATTCATCCCACCACTACCAAAAGCAAAATCAAAATTGAAGTTGACAGTCCCCTCAAAACCTTTTGCTTCATTAAACGTATCAACTTTTTCTGCCACTTGTCCTATGATGGTCGATGCAGCGACCACAACTTCTCACTGCATCAACTGACGGTGCATTATTTCAACAATCTCACATTGCTGATGAGTTGACCAGCGTGATGCGACCAAGTGGCGACATCTAAACTACACCTTTATAAGCTTAGGCATTAAAATAGAACGCGCAGGTGCCGTTCATGCGGGATTCAGGATTTTGCCGAAAACTGAGGATGACTACCGAAGAATCGTTCGCTTGTTCGGGGAGGACGTGCCTCATCATAAGTTCCCTCTTCGTTCAGAATGAAATATTCACGCGGTAGTCAGAGGCATACTCCTCTCCACATTATCCGACTCAAACGCAGTGGCGCGGCGCACCCATGCCCTTGGTGCCCAAGATTGAAAAGTTCCAGCAGCTGTTCAATAAACATGAGCTGCTGGGTCTAGCAATCAGAGTAGAAGTTCAAAGGAGCTCTAGACTTATCCGGCAGTGTCACCGCTGCCAAAGGTATGGCCATGAGCAGTCTTACTGCACAACACCTCCCAAATGTTTATAATGTGCTTCCGACCACATGACACATTTATACCCCCTCACAGGACAAGAGGAGCGAAAGTGTGCGGACTGTAGAGGGGCGCATCCAGCTAACAGTCCCACTTGCAGATTCACCCCCAGGCGAAATCTGGAAGTCATAGGGCAAAGTCGCAGCAAGTCATACGCGGAAGCAGCCGTCTCAACCTCTTCGGCTGCCCCCTCTGTTTAACCCACATTGAACACGCAGAATGTGGACCTAGCAACTGCGTTAGTTCCCTTCAACAAATAATAATTCCCCTGATTAGCGCCACTCAGGCATTGCAGGCGATCTTTCCGCATCCATTGAATGGCTAAGTACAATAGAGAACCTGCATTTATCAAAATTCTTTTTTGGAATTGTCTGGGCCTAAGGGATATTCCCAAAAAACGGGAACTTCATCAAACTCTTTTGGATGAGAGTATAGACGTAGCTCTCCTGCAGGAAACATTACTTAATTATGATGTTATACGAGCTGACAGATTGAATGGTAGGGGTGGTGGCTTGGCAGTGCTCGTTAAACGTGGTGACTATGACAGAAGCACAAACGCCGAGATGCAAAGCATTGAAGCGGTGTCCGTGGTAATCAGTATGGCGGGATGCATTCCGTTGAAGATCACCTCGGTGTATGTCAGATGCGTCGCCAGGATGCGAGAGGAGGACTTGGAAGTCCTTTTGGACTGTTCGGGCCCTCTTATTGCGGCAGAGGACTACAACTGCAAACACCGATCATGGCACACAAGGCTTAACTCTACTTGTGGGGTCGGCTTTACAACCATGTGTTGCAAAACGGGTATCTTATTCACAGTACCGAAGAGCCGACACACCATCCCTTCGATCACCTTCAGGCACCGGATGTTATAGACTTTGCAATATCTAAAAACTGTAGGTTCAGTATTGCTTCTAGGATCTTGTATGACATCTCTAGTGAGCATCTACCTGTTGTTCTGGAGTTAGGTAATGGACATTTCGTGGAGGAGGAAACTCCTCCAAGGAAAAGAGTTGATTGGGAACTATACAAGTCATTTCTCAAAGAGTTTCCCAACGTCCCGGTCATACATGATGAGAACGGAATTGGTGCTGCTCAATCGGAGTGGAGAAGTTTCGTTCACAAAACTCTACAGCGTGCTGCTGTGCTTTCGGTGCAGCGACACGGCAGACCTTTTCTCCCTACTGACATTCGTCGGAAAATTTCTGAAAACAGGCCTGCGATTAAGCAAGCAAAAGGTCTTGTCATTCTGATAACATTCGTAGAGCGACGAATCTCGTCCATGAAGTGAGAAATGCACTCAATGAATCCCAGAATGAGCAGTGGATCGACTTTCTGGCGGGGATGCTTGAATCAAGTATTCCTCTCTGGAAAGTGGCAAAATCGCTCAGAAACGGAAGGCAAGAACAACTACCACATATTCATGGTCCGGGAGGCATAGTTTTCAGGACTGAGAATACAGTGGAGGTTTTTGATGAAGTCATGGAAAGGCAGTTCTCTCCCAATTATGATCTGGACAATGACCTTGACGAGGAACGACAAATTGTAAGATCTGTCAGGAGATACTTCAGAGCGAATGGCGATACCAACATCGGTGCTAGCATCGGTGACTCCTTTTCAGAAGATTCTTCTACGGAAGACTCTTCAGATTAATCTCAGCATAGTACATCAACGGAATCCTCTGAGATCCAGCAGAGCTCCAAGGCCACATTAAGTACCTAAAGGTGCGTAAAGCACCTGGAGAGGATCAAATCACAAACAAAGCACTGAAGTTGCTTTCACTCAAGGCTTTGACTTATCTGGTGGCAATAATCAATGCAATGCTCAGAACTCACTACTTTCTGAAGGCGTGGAAGGTCAGGTTCGATATTCCCCCAGGATTACCGTCCTATTAGTATGCTGTCAGCTCCTTCTAAGCTTGCTGAAAAGGTGATTTATCGTCACCTTGAGAATTTCTCGTCAGATCACCATGTGATTCCTGACGTGCAATTCGGTCTGAGCACAGTACGGAGCTACAGGTGGTTAGACTGCTGGAGCATGTAACCAGGGGGTTCATCCATACTGGTATCATGCTTTTACATGTATCAAAGGCATTTGACAAGGTGTGGCACATGGGCCTCTTGTATAAGCTCAACCAAAAGGGTTTTCCATTTTGGCTACTAAAACTGTTGAAATCTTTTCTAGAAGAAACGAAGTTTCGGATCAAAATTAACAATGTGTTGTCAACAACACTTCACTTTATATACATGACGTCCCTTGCCCCAGCAACTGTGAAGTCTATCTCTATGCTGACGGCTCTGCACTGCTAGCCCAGTTTTGTTCTGGTAACCTGGTTCACGACCGGCTGCAGAGTGCGGTGGAGAAAGTACGTATATTGGAGTTGGCGGATCGGTGGTTGATCAAAATTAATACTTCGAAAACGCAGGCAAT